CCATCCCTGGAGGTGTTCAAGGCCAGGTTGGACGGGGCTCTGAGCAACGTGGGCTGGTGGGAGGTGTCCCTGCCCAGGGCAGGGGGTGTCTCGATGATCTTAGCACCCCTTCCCACCCAAACCAGTCTCTGATTCGATGATCCCCGCAGGGCTGTGCTGCCCGCACTACTGATTTCTTCCTTCCCCGAGGCACTGCTCTGGCTCACACAGCCCAGAGCACCGGAGCAGCATCTCTGACGGGGCTACGCCAGCAGAATGGTACTTTTAGTAGCTGCTTATATTTTAGTGGCAGATTACGATAGCGTATTGTCTGTTTTGGTGCTGGCCCACCTGTGACCACTTCCTGGGGCTTGGCCTTGCCACAAGCCAAGCACGGCTGGCCAGGACCCCGCACTTCTGCCCATCAGCCATCCGGTACGGAGAGCTGCGGGGTCGGGGCGGCAGCCCGATGCTCCCACACCTCGGTACCGGCTCCTCTCCCGGCATGGAAAGGGGGTTTAAGCTGTCACTTCCCGGCTGCACGCTGCATCTGGAGCCTGGTGGGGACCAGCCACCCCTGCGCACCCTCACTGCGAAGCGCGGCGAGAGCAGAGCACCCTGCGCCTGCCCTCCCCGTGTGCCACCCCATGGGCCACGGTACTCCAACTGCAGCGCTTCGGGGAGTGGGGGCACTGACTCTTGCCTGCCTGAACCCCACCATCGGGACAGGGCATCACTTTGCTTTTAACGATCCATTTATCGATGGACAACCCCCCCCAGAGCAGCAGCAGAGAGCAATGGGCTGGAACCTCTCGCACAGGCACGACGCTGCTGCCTGCGGGCACAGCCCCACAGGTGACCCGGCTTGTTCGGGCCAGTCAGGCTCCCCCCAGGGATGCCAGGCTTTCCTCCAGCGCCAGGCTCTTACCCAGGGGTCTCCTAAAGCAGTGAGAAGCATCGAATCATGGAATGGTTTGGGTGGGAAGGGACCTTAAAGATCACAGAATCTCTTAGATTGGAAAAGACCTGTAAGATCATCCAGTCCAATCATTAACCCAACACTGCCAAGCCCACCACTAAACCATGTCCCTGAGCACTATATCTACACGACCCTTCAATACCTCCAGGGATGGGGACTCCACCACTGCCCCTGGGTAAAGGCCTGATGACCCTTTTGTAAAGAAATTCTTCCTAATGTCCAATCTAAACTTCCTTTGGCGCAACTTGAAGCCATTTCCATTATCTAGTCCAACCCCCTGCCATGGGCAGGGGTGTCTTCAACTAGACTGAACTAGGCTGAACACTCCCAACTCTCCCAGCCTGTCCTCCCAGCAGAGGGGTTCCAGTCCTCGCAGCATCTTGGTGGCCTCCTCTGGAGGCCACACCACCTTTTGGAGGTGCCATCACCAGGGCGAGGAGGTGGCCAACTGTCCCACGTTTGAGAAGCAGCATTTCCCGGTGCCTACGTGCTGCCTTCTCCCACCCAGCCCCAGCCAGGACTCTTGGGCTGAGCAGCGCTGAGTTCCTCCTCACCTTTTCCGGTGAGCCAGAGGCGATGTTGCCGAGTCCTCGCAGTGCCAGCATCCGCACCAACGTGCAGGTGTCCTTCTGCCTCCCCATCATGTTATCCATCATGGTCTCCAGCAGGATCAGGTCATTCACCACGTTACTGTTGAGAAGCTAAAGCAGAAGAGAGCCTCAGCATTGACAGAACAGGGGTCCCGCGGAGCCCGAGGGAGACGATGGCTGTGGTTTAGATGCTCCTATTTCTTCAGGTGAGGGAAGAGCCCCGGCAGGCTTGGCTTGCTCCCCTCAGGCCCTCACTCCATATCCACCCCACCCAGAGATAGGGCTGGGGGAGCCCCCAGCCCCCACACCCCCACACAGGCACTTGGATTTGAGGAACCTGCAATAATTTGTAACGTGTAAATCAAGAAAACCGAGCACCCGAAGTTGGGAAGAAGCGGGAAGCCCGGACGAGCACCGACAGCCGGGAGAAACCCATAAAACCTACACAAAAGCTAAATCCTCACCCCTGAGATCGCTGGGTGGGTCAGATGCGGTGGGGTACAAAGAGGTTGAGATTTACAGGGATGGAGGGCCAAAGCGCATCCCCCGGGCTGCGGAGGGGCCAGCAGCACTGCCAGCGGCTCTTCCAGAGGAGCGCAGGGGCACCTGTGGCACCCAGAGCCCCTGCAGCACCCAGAGCCCCCGCGGCACCCAGAGCTCCTGCGGCCCAGGAGCATCCCCAGCAGCACCCAGAGCCCCCACATCACCCAGAGCTCCTGCGGCCCAGGAGCATCCCCAGCAGCACTCAAAGCCCTCACGGCCCGGCAAGCATCCCCAGCAGCACCCAGAGCCCCCGCAGCACCCAGAGCCCCCGCAGCACCCAGAGCTCCTGTGGCCCAGGAGCATCCCCAGCAGCGCCCAGAGCCCCCACATCACCCAGAGCTCCTGTGGCCCAGGAGCATCCCCAGCAGCGCCCAGAGCCTCCATGGGACCCAGAGCCCCTGCAGCCCTGGGAGCACCCCAAGCAGCACCCAGAGTCCTCATGGCACCCAGAGCCCCCACGGCACCCAGAGCCCCCTTAGCTCTGGGAGCATCCCCATGGCACCCAGAGCCCTGCATTACCCAGAGCCCCCTTAGCTCTGGGAGCATCCCCATGGCACCCAGAGCCCTGCATTACCCAGAGCCCCCATGGCACCCAGAGCCCCTGCAGCTCCGGGAGCATCCCCACGGCACCCAGAGCCCCCA